TTCCTAATCATGTTCCTTCCAACTCTTGATCATCCAGTGAGATTGGCTACAAACCATGAATCACGACATATTGACACATCTGGCCATTTTTCCTTCCAATCAAAATACCTAAAGCCAGATGGATTGCCTGAAGTTCTGTCCACAGCGAAATTTTCCTTTAACCACTGTACATCAGGGATGTCCTAGAAAGGGGCTGTAAGTGCTGAAGTTATCCACTTTTTGATGGTGCCTGCATCATGTGCAGATTCATCTGTAAATCAGGCCTTAGCCTTCTTTTCCTCTGGTGACTAATAATAGGGTATAACCCTATTACCATGAGGCCATAGTTGCATGCTGGAGAACAGAAGGCAATAAAGCAAGAGTATGAACTATGGGCATATGGGCTACTTCTTCATGTAACTTACTTTCATACTCAGAATCTCCTTGGGCTTAATCACATAAATACCATTGAGATTTGATGATGGATTATTGCTATGTGCATACAACTTTATGATTCACATGCAACAATTTACTGTTCACCTTAGAAGGAATATCTCTGCCTGCCCCACACATTGGACTTCTAGAAATTTCATTCAGATTTGGGATTCTTGAAGTTTAGTCAGGTTTATTTCCCATCCTCTGCAAATCAAAGGCTTTACCAACAAGTCCTCATGTTCACTTTGTCCAATCAACATAATGTTATCAATATAATGGACCAGTGTGATATCTTGTAAACAAAAAGGTGATCAAAATCCCTGCCAACTATTTTATAACATAGGATACTGCACAGTTGATACTTCTCTGAGGTAGGACAAGCCTTGCCAGTTGAATGTACATTGTTTCTGTTGGGCATTATGGACAGATTTTAAGAAAAAGGCATTTACCAAATCAATAGCTACATACCAGATACCAGGACATGTGTTGAGCTATTCAAACAAGAAAACATTTGGCATACCAGCTGCAATTGGAACCACTACTTAAGTTTAAGGTAATATCCCATTATCCTCCAAGATACATTCACCTGCATAGGCCAAATAAGGGTTTGATGGGGCTGTAGTGGGAACCACCAACCTTGGATCGTTCAATCCTCGATGGTGTCACTTTATCTCTGCAATCCCTCCAAGGATTCTATGTTGTTTTCAATTTACTGTTTTCTCAGGTAGAGGCAACTATAATAGCTTCCATTTGGCTTTTATCAGCATAATATGCTTCACTCCACTTTTTAGGGAAACAATATGTGGATTCTGCTAACTACCAAGTATATCTATCACAGTTATGCATTCTACAACTGGATAAATGACCACAGGGTGGATTCAGAAACCTACTGGAAACATTGAGAGTTGGACTTTGGTTTAAACCCCATTGATCAACAACCTCCATAGTTTCCTACTCTAACTGGAGAGCCATAATGATGATTCACATATCCTGGATTCAGCCTTAGTTTTGAGCCAGTGTCCAGTAGTTCCCCAAATTTTTTGATCATTTCATTTTCTGCAATGTTTAATTCCCTTAGTAAATAGCTGTAGTTTCCCTTTGGGAAAGATGGGAGAAAATTTGACAATATAACTTTTGTTGTAGTGCACCAAGTTCTTCCTCAAAGAGAGCAAAACTCTTGTTCATTCGGGGGTTTTGGGTCTATAAACTGGCCAAGTCTGGGAATTGTTTTCTATAAGTTGAGATAGATTTTTGTTTATTTGCTATAAGTTTTTTCTGCTTATATAAAGGTAGTCAAAATTATGTCAGCTTTACATCTTTTTAACTTCTTGGAATACCATGACTAATTAGCCAACAACATAAGTCTACACATGTCAGACCATCCCAGTCATTGCTTTCTTCTAATGTCCACTGAGATAAAAACACTCCTTGCCTTTGACAGTTGAGCATTACCATTTGGCCCCTGATGTTCTGAGATCCAATTATATACATTGCATTTAAATTTCACAATTGAGTGACTATGGCCCCCATGGAAAGATCTGACATACTGAGAATAACAATGATGTAGTTCTTCAAGGGTGCTGCTATTCTCCTTACAAATCTGTCTCTTTAGAAGTGAAAAGTACATTTTCTTGACTCTTCCTGGGTGTAGGAGTAAAATTTTTTGGGCAAGTCCACTCCCACATTCCCATTTTGCCGAGTCTTTGAATACCTCTATCAATAATAAACTAAGGAATATTAGGCATCCCCATCTCTTTCAGAGTAGGTCTTCTTTGATCTACATTTCTGCCAACCAGTAAAATAAAAAATTATTACCTTTTTAAACTATATGAGCTGCTATAAGAGATTAAATCCAGAATCTCTATTTAATGGGACATATCAGGAAACTCAACTTGATCAAGGTTTATGTTTTTTTTTCCACTGCCATCCCATATTCTAGAAATCCATTTCCTTATCTGTTCTCCAGACCTCTGTGTGTAAGAATTAGAAAACTCAAGTTCTTTGGGAATGTAGCATACTGTCTTGTGAGTCATGCAGTGTACCTCACTTTTAGGGGCCTTCTAAGATTGGAGCCTGGTTATAGGTCTAGAGGCAAAAGTGAATGGTGGTGTTGTGTTCTAAGAAGCTTCAGGATTGTCTTGCTTGATAACTGCATCAGGAAAGATCATTACTGTTTCCATAAGCAACACAGGATTAGTTTCCTCAGGTATAGGTGGAAAGGTCAACACCATTTTGGGTGGGGTGTGGATACCTCTGCCACTGAAGGTGGGGAAATCTCTTCCTCTGGCAAAAATCATCTCCTCAGAATTTAGGAGTTCAATGTCCTCAGTCTAGTCAGATTACTTCCAAACACCTCTGGCCCAATTCACCTTGTTCTTTTTCAGTTGGCACCCTTACTTAAACTGCAGATACCGTTTAAGAATGAACATAAAATTGTACTGTATTTCAGCCAATGTGAAGAGCTTGTGTTTAGTTTTCAGCAATTCAGCCCTAAGGCTATAGGAGAAAAGATTCTTTTTTTCTTCAGCATACACTTAGAAACTTTTAGATTATTTTTACATTTGTTATGCTGGGAATTTGAACTGTTGAGATCATTATTTTCTTTTATTAGTTTGTCCAGAGATTCTAAGAGAAACCAGCTGACATCATTATAGTTCTTACTGTTCCAAAAATATTAAAAGTATTGTATATACAGTCACTAATTTTTTTTTCATCTCACAAGTGGTGAATTAGGATAATCAAGTGGATATCATTGCATATTATTTTTAAAATACACCACAGGCTATCAGTACTCTCTACATTATCAGAAAGAGAGACCATGGCAACTTTAGGTCTCATCAAATTAGAGATGCAACTCCACGAACTGCTAAAACAATTAGTGAAATTGATTCTTACCATGTTTTTTTTAAACTCAAGAACCACTCCTGGCACCAAAATCTGAATTAGTTAGAGTTCTCTAGAGAGGCAGTGTTAATAGAAAACATATGTATGACTATGCAAAACGATTTATTAGAGAGGTTTACAGAATCAGAGGTGGGAGAGTCCATGATGGCTGTCCGTGCACTGGAGAGACAGAGGACCCAGTAGCTGCTCAGCTCAAAAATATGGAAGCTGCAGAGCAAAAGGGTTCAAAGATGCAACGCCAGTCCAAGAATGATAGTCTGAAAGCTCACTGGAGAGTTAGTGGTATAAGTCTGCCTTCAAAAGTTGAAGAAACCGGTTATTTTGCAACTTACATCAAAAGCCAGTGGCAGCAAGGGGCTGGAAGGCTGGAGCTTTTTAAAACTGGCACACTTACTTCTTCTTTCCTTTTTTATTCCATACAGTCTGCAAGCATATTGTTCGGGGCCACTCATAACTGGGTTATGTTTTCCTCCCTCAGTTTACTGGCCTACGTATCAGTCACCCAAAGACATATAGTTCTGGAATTGTGCATTACTAATCTGCTGGGCATTTCTTAATTCATGGTGACATATTATGGTTACTGGGCACAGATATGTTTATTCTTTTTTGAACATTAAACAGTGTATACATATTTTGAAACATTGTACTCAATAAGCACGTATGATTTTAACGTGTCAATTAAAAATAGATTGCCAATATCTCAGTCCTCTTCTCCCTTGAGAAGATCTATCTTTCTACTTTTGATTATTCTTAAAGGGAAAGGGGGTCTAGAGATGGAAGGAGGTTGCAGGAAGGGAAGGGAAAAGAGATGAAAAAAGAATAACAATGTTCTGTACATGTACCAACTTCCCATAGGGAATGAAATTATTGACAAGTTAAAGGAGGGACTAAAGAAGCAGATTTATAATTAATGACATTTATTCCTTCATGGAACAACCCATTAATCATTAATATGTCTCCTACGATGTGGAAAATAACCATCTTTGGCATTAGAAAATATAAAAGAAAACCTCAGTGTACTAAAATGCTATATGATGATATCAGTCATTTATTGAATATCTAGTATGTGTTAGATCATGTGCTATACTCATTATTCAAATTATCTCTTATTCCTCACAATAATTCCTCAAGTAACCTATTTTCATTTTAATCTTCAGTTTAAGAAATTGGGAAGTAAACAGTTGTAGAGATTACCCAGGGACACACACATGTTCAAAAGAAGAGCCAGATTTTCAGTCCCAGATGTGCTCTAATACACCTTTTCCTTTTATTAACACTCCCTCCCCAAAGAGATCATAAGTCACTTTTTGTCTAATTCTGTGTCTTATGCTTCTATCCTTTATTCTGTTCAGTAGCATGTAGCATGAAGTAAATGTGCATGCATGCTTGTTAAATTAAGGTACAAATGTGAGTGCATGTAAAATGTGTAAGCAAAGTAGCTGTGCATTTGGCTATACATTTGTCCTTGAGAGAAAATGCTATTCTTTTAAAAGAAAGTCCATGTGCATATTCTTGATTTCCAAAAAAATGTATCAAAATTTTGTCTACTTACAATAAAAAGAACTGATGAAATAACATTATGAAGCATTAATTGTAAAATAAAATTCAGGAGCCAACTGATAAATTACCTGATAGAACTCCCAATTTAAATTGATTACCTCTGCTTTTTGATTTATGAACAGGAAATGAGCATTGATTGTTAGGCACCTGGATGAAGAGGCTTGGGTTCAGACTGTCAGTCTCCTGTAACCTGCAAAGATCCTCCAGTTGCACCAGGATCGTTCAATTGAAGTAAGACCTAATTACTTTAATTACAGTGTAAGACTTATATTCTCGAATCAACTTTTAATAAGGTTTCTTGGCATATTTTTATAGTGTGCCTATAGCAGGTATTTTTGAAAAAAGAAGAATGCACACATTATTCTAGGGCAAAATTTTATGCATTTCAGTTTCTATTCATCTTGTATTTTATGGACTTCAGCCCATTTTCCTTAGATAGTGCTATATAAATATTTTCATTTCTGTATGGTGCTTGGAATTCATGTAATCTCTTTGCCTCTGTGTGGATCAATTCTTTATATAATTATAAATGTTATTACAACTAAATTATTTTATTTTTTTTTAAATATGGGTCACTGATTTTATAGAAAATTACAAAAATGAAGCAATTTGTCCTATAATACAACATGGCTGTGTATTACTTCTTTTTTTCCCAAGTTTATATAGATTTTTTGATCCTATGAAACATTTCTCTTTTTATGCCTACACACAGACTGTGAACTTTTATCCACTAGAGTTTGAAGACCTATCCTAAAAGTGAGTTTACAGTTCTTCCTGGAATAGCCCAATTTTGAAGCAGGGTAGGGATGCTATTGTGTAATTGAATTACTTTTGTCTTGAGAGCACTAGCTATCATCAATATTCAAATGCTTGTTCTGTTTTACCATGTATAACATTTTACATGGGGAAAATAATTGAGAAGCCCCAAAGACAGTGAGCAATCAAGAGCAAATCCAGTGTAGCTACCAAAAACCTTTAGGAACTTGGATGAGTCATTTACCTTACTGACAATTGTCTTTCCTCCAAATTTAAAGATTAGATTTAATTAAAAAAAATTATGTGATTTAAGGGCCAGGCAGATAATGCAGATTTGTGATAGTTTTGGAAAAAAGAAGCTGTACCCATGATAAAACCATTCAAATTCAAGCATTTTCAAGGGTAAAAATAAATTAGAGAGGGAGCTAGGACTGGGTAAAGGCAGCAGGAAGTTTGCACTTGGTCACTGGATTAGATAAATTGTAAATCATTTCCAAACCAATACATGGTTATAAAATTGCTACTATGTTAAACATTTATTGTTGAGTCCTATATGGATTCATTTGTACTAAAATATAAATAGTTTTACATTTGAATTTTTCTGAATTCTATATTAGAAGTGGGGTAAAGCTGATTTTTTTTAACCAGAAAAATCTCTATTATAGGGTTCATCAGTTTAATATTTTTTCTGAGTCTTTATTTTTCATTTATTGGCCAGGAATGAGTACTTTGAATCTACTACAGTGTCTAATAATAAAACCTAAACATTAAATTATCAGTTAGCACCTTCCTTCTTAACTAATATATTTATTTTACTTTACTTTTTAAATTAATTCTGTTGTTACATTTTAGGTATACATTGGTCATAAGGAATTTGTACCTGTATGTGATATATTTTGATTCCTCTTTTTATTCCCTTTCCTTCCTTCAATTCCTCTTCCCCTCCTTATTTACAAAAGCTTTGTTTCCACTTTTTCCTTTTTTTGTCTTTGTTTTTCTTTGCCCTTCCTTCCTTTCCCCCTTCCCCTCCCTAGTTCCTCTTCCCATTTGAATATTTTCTTCCTATTTCACAATACCTATTATACATTTTGGTCTTTATTCACACTTTCCATTTCTCACACCAGAGAAAGTATGTGATATGTGAACATGTTGAGTCCAATAAGTATATGGTCTCAAAGTGCATCTATTTACCTATAAATGCCTCAAGTTTATCCTTCTTTATGTGAGAATCGCATTTTCTTTATTCATTCATCAATCAATGGGCATTTGTACTGTTTCCGAGATTTAGCTGTTACAAACACTGCTGCAATAAACATGGGTATACATAGACCACTGTGGCATGCCACAGCATTAAATTATATTGGGAAGATACCAAGAAGGGGAATACCTGGGTCAAATGGAACTTCTAGTTTTATTTTTTTGAGGAATCGCCACACTGATTTCCACAGTGGTTGCAGCAGTCTACTCTCCCGTCAACAGTGGAGAAGGGTTCCTTTTTCCCCAAAACCCTGCTAGCGTTTGTTATTGATTGATTTTTTGGTAATAGCCATTCTTTCTGGAGTGAGATGGAATCTCCAAGTTATTTTGATTTGCATCTCTTGAATGACCAGTGATGTTGAACAGTTTTTCATGTATTCATTTGTTATTTGTACTTCTTTTATATTTAAAAATAGCTTTATTATCAAACACACACACATACAGAAATTAAAACCATTCAAAGAAGAATAAGGCAAGGGAAAAAAAACCTACAACAATATTCAAATACAGTAGAACTCAACCAAAACAAAACTGAAAAGCGCTTAAACATTTTTCCATATAACATAAAAAAGCATTTCAGCACCAACAAGACACCAGAGGATGTGATTTCTTTCAGAAAGATCCCAAAAACCAACATTGAACAAATAATGACCTGGAAAAAACTCCAGTTAGTTAGCAGACTCCGTATAAGCCAAACTTTTCCCTAATTTAAATTTCAATACAGTCATATGCCACGCGATGGAAACACAATCCGAGAAGTATGTTATTAGGCCATTTCATCCGTGTGTATCCTTAATTACACTTTCAGTTTCTCACACTAGAGAAAC